CAGTGAGTAAGCTTACACTGCACAAGCTCAACTGATTATGACAATGCGTGGGCAACATGCCGCTTTACACGCTCAAATCTTACTATCTACAGTTGACTGCTTTCTGTAACGTTTTTCTTGCCTCTGACTAGTCTCGAGTTCCTGAGTTGTTCCATCGTCTAAAATTCACCGATACGAGCATTGGGTGAAGCATCGGGTTTTGGCTACGACGCCAACGTTGATAATTTGCCAAATTTCACTGTTTTGATTCGTATAAAAATACTTTTCAAGCACTTGAGCAATTTTTTTGCATTAAAAATTATCAAGAAAGTTTGCGGCTTGCGAAGCCGTGCAGATTGCGAGAGTTATTTGCACAGTTGTATACTGTGTTACCACTTCTTTGACAAGAGCACTTTCATTGGCATGATATGCGAAGTCCAACATAAGTAACCTAAATAATCCAATACTAATCAAAGACGCAAAAGCAGTTGAGCACTCCCCGCGGCAAACAACAACGCTTTCGCGCTTCCAACTTTTGCGCTTCAGTCCGACAGTAGACCCTTTATAGCTATGTAAGTAGATTGATCACATTTATACATTGCTAATTTTGTTTCATTTTTTCAATTATGTATCTTCGTCTAATGGCTAATAACAGCTTAGCAACACCAGTAGAAAGTAAGCACATAGTCAATAAAATGAAAGCTATCACATCGATATTAAAGTATAGTACAGCATTCATCCGAGAGCCTTCTACGTGTAAAACATCTAATGCACCATTTTGCACAGCGAAGTTGGTCCACTGAACAAGACGTTCTTCTGCAGAAAATGGTTTTCTTTGCATTAGCTTTGACATGCGAAGAGCATTCCGTTTGTAGCTTGAAGTATAGATACATTAATATTTGAAGCAAAGTCGGTTTTTTACTTTACCTATCATTATTCAGTACTTCCTGTATAGCAACTCTTATTGCATCCTCCGTTAGTGCCCATTTTGGAAGTACCTAAGCGATTATATTTTATCAAGATTTCCGATAAGTTCAAGAATCAGAAAAGGAATATAAAGACTACTAGTTGCTAACAGAATTAATAAAAAAA